CCTAAGGGCTTTCCATGTTTTCAAAGCAGGGGCGTACGGCTCGTCATACCCACCATACGCAATGAAGCTACCCTGTATCTAGGGCCTGTCCATTCAATTTCCTTCCGAGCTTCAACTCTGTGTTTCTTCACACCACTTCATTACACAGCGGGGGCTCCCGGGTCTGTTCCTGGCATGAGCCAACGAAGCTCCAGGTTCAGACTAGGATATCGAGAGGGGACGCTCTCTCGACGTACCTGCGAGAAGATCGTTGATGCACAAACAGTTACCTGTTGTTCACGGTCCTTTTCAAGGTTTGTTTTTCAGGTATGAGGTCGGCTTGCACTAATCGGGGAATGCACTCACAATTCCTAAAGAGTTAATGCGTCTTTGGAAGTACCTTGAATTATGCTCTTGCCAGCTCTTTCTCTCAAGTGTGTGTCTGTGTGCGCCTTGGAATCAAAGGCTGTTCAAATGAACACGATTAAAAGGACCTGCCCACGAAGCCCCGCCTGGAACCAGCTCCTGGGATATTCAAACCCTGTCAAATGGGACACAAAGAAAAATGTCCCAGATGTACTTCCTGAACTCAGAACAACACACAAAGTGCATCGGAGAAACCTTCGACGACCTTCCAAGAGAAAGAACTTGTTGACTTCCCAGCAGTATGTCTTCTTCTTTGGGATCAATCAGTCTCATGGCTTGGGCCCCTTGGTCTACCTCTGAGGTATTTCAACATCACTGGCATACCGTTGTTGGGCTCAAAAAATGTATTATATACATAAATACGGAGAAAGACATGCTACAGTCGCCCACAGTCCTCAGGTGCGGAGGAGTCCGCTTTCTGCTCTTCCTTGGAATCTGAAAGAAGTAGAATAGAGAACAAATGACGTCACACACCCCGGAGACTTTGGATGCCAATTAGCACATTATTGCAGGCAAATCAACTTTGTATATTTGTCGCAACTACAATCGCATGAGACCGGATGCAACTAAAATAACTAACAAATGCCCACAAGCACGCAATGTGTGAAAGGTGGAAAAGACTGTGGCACGTGGGTCAGACATGCATCTTCATGTGCCTTGTAAACCAAAATGTCAAGAGACAATGACGTAGCAAGTTAGCAGTCCTTCAAACATTGAAACTGTCTTGCGTGAAGTCACAAAGTTTTGCAACTGCACAATGTGGCACGATAGTAGATGAATCCAGCCCAAGGAGAGCTGGTCTTCTGAAACAAGTCTGATGACCAAGCTCGTTGATGATGAAGGAACTCAAGAATTTGTGCGTCTTTGCAACATTTACAAAATGTGCATGTCCATGTGAATGAAACCTTTACAAAACCTTCCCTGTTCATAATAAGCTCCGAATGATGCCACATCCGAATCAAAGCCATGCCACCACAAGACCATAACCGTCGTGACTTGCCAGGGCTGCTGCCTCGGCTTGAACTCAGTCACAGTATTGAGAAAGGTAGTCAGGTAGTATGATCTGTGCAACTGTGAAACGGACGCTTGCACTGCACCCACCTTAGCGCCTTGATTTTGAACTTGTGAATCCTCCGAGGACCGTGCCAGGATTTGGCAGAACTCCTCATCCGCACCCTGCGAGGCTGAGTGGTCTGAGTATCTATTTCGGGGGGGCCACATTGAAAACTATGCAAAACACAAAAATCATTGAAATGGCAGGAGATCAACCCATGACATCCCGCTCCTTTCCTCATGATTCTGTCATGAAACAAACTTCCAAAGCACGTCCATCTACAAACCATCATCCTTTGACCTGCAAACCCCTCTCAGTGATTATCTTTCAGGGATGCTGGAAATGCTACTTCTTTATCATGCATTACCAGCATCACTGACCTTTCCGATCACCCCACTCAACGTTCCCTCTTGGCAATTCAATTGGTCTTCCTTCAAAAACGGATAGCCTCTCCCACACATCGCTCGCACACCTCGGGCTCTCGTCCACAGCCTACCAAGGCTAAGCTGACTAAGAGCAGTGAAGGCAGTGAAGGTGACCCTCCTTCGGTGTAAACAATGGGAGACTGCAGACTACTGCGGACAGTTGCAACACAAACTTCGCAGCTCTGGAGCTAGACGGCTACCCGACAAAAATACATACAGTACTGTACAAGAAACTTCCTTATGTGCAAAGGTCTCCGCTCTATCAGGTCCTAGGTTGCAGCAAACCTACAAAATATCCGGATTAGAACCAATGGAGACAATGCTACTGTACTACCTTGAGATGATGTGTACCACTCTGAAATGTCAAAGTCCTGTCCACCCATCTGAGCTGCAGAACCGTGAAATCGGTTCATTCCTCAGACCCGCCCAGTCGGAGCCTTCAGGTATGGCTAGACTCTGTGCCAAGACAGGCTGCGGACGAGTGCTGCCAAGACTGCCTCAAGGCAAAAGGCCCGACTCAGGGTGTCCACATGCCACCAGCGCACTTTCTTTTCACGTCTTTTCATCTGACCAGAATAGACTATGAAAGCATATGAAAGCATTGATCTTGATTTTCCAGGCAAAACACCAAGTAAGACACACTTCGCGTGATTGTCAATGTTCATTAAGTAGATGCCTGGTAACTTCACGAAAAATCTCACAAATGCCTCTTAAACCTGGTACTACTACAGATCATATTCAAAGGATAAAAATGAGGGGAGAAAAGGAGCAAGGGGTGTGCACAGGCTAGGACACAGGTGGTGTGAAGTTTCCTTGGCAAGAGCGCTTAGTTGCACCTGCTGATGAGAAGTAGGAGCATACAAGAATCCTGTTACATCTTGTTCATCTTAGATGTTGCTACCACCACGAAAGTGTGATGTGCTCCAGCCACCACGACAGTAGACTGCCTGTGTGTTCCACCAGAGGGGCAAGTGGCGCCAAACGCTTTTCACTGGCGCTCCGTCCCTGCGGAAGTCTGGTTCTGAGGGTCGGAAAAGGCGAGTTGGAACAGGACTTGATGTCAACCACTTGACTTACCGTCAGCTGTCCACCTAAGATCTTTTGGCCCATGATGTGACATCAGTCCACATGTTGCTCCATCAGTCCACTTCTTCAGAACCTCTGCCCTCGTGCCATGCTGCCACACCTGCGTCTTCAAACCTGGTCGCTCCTTGGTCCAGGACATGAGGTTACCCATTCAGAAGAAAAGGCCGTTCTTTTCATTGATGCCAGCAATCATCACTTGTGGCCGGAAGGCTTCGGAAGTTCCACCTGAGAAGCCTGCAATCTCAATCTGCGGAACCCAGGGCATTGACCTTGGAAACACCGGATGTGTCTGGAGTCGAACACATGCGTGTGTTTTTACATAGGGAGACCTCCAAAGACCCCCTGGAAGAGGGAGAATAGACCGTTCCATGTACAATTTAAAGGCTGTGTGGAGGCTCTCTGATTGAGAGTTTCTACGGGTTTGTGTGTAAATGTCCTTACATCCCTTTCGTATTGCTTTTTGTATAATATATATATATATATGTATACATATATATATATGTATATTTCTGTAGAGGTTGCTTTTTGATTTGCATGTTGCTGAGGATCGAAGGTTGTGTCTATCTGACGCATAGCCGAGGGTAGCCATTGCATGTTCACACGTGCAAGAAGCGACAAAGGCCAAAAGACCGATTGGTTGGGAGTCTCCCAACGAAAATACACACCCATGTCTAGTTGATATTGAGCTCCTAGCCCGTTGAGAGGTGTCAGGAACGAGCCTCCAGGTGCCTCAGAGTATGCGCAGCAAAAAGAATTCGTTAAGCGGAAGTTCATGTCACGACCTATGTGTTTCAAGGTTCCACGTTTCACTTTAGATTCCAAGCGGACCGTTTCCTCTGCTTTTGGTGCGAATCGCAAAGAAACGGCCACACAGACTCCTTGGACGCCACTTCTGCAGGGAGCAGGTGGCCAGCCTCTTGCCACAGTCTTGGACTGCACCAAATGCCTCAGACCTCTCCTGGCAGTTGGAACTTCTCCTCCAGGCGCTTCCGCACTTTGCGAAAGTCCTCGTGAGGCAACTCACCCCTGGGGCAAATTTGACGGGACTCCATTGCCAGCAAAATCTGGGTAAAATGAACCATGGACGCCATCTAGCAGGCTATGTAAATCTCTGGACTCGGCAGTCTAGCAATGCAAACATTTAAGTATCTCAATGCAAACATTGTGTGTGTATGATATCTTCGCTACAAGCAACGCTCGCCCGGTTGCCAAAGCAAGTCAAGCCATTTATCTCACGCCTGTCTCAAAAGTATTCCAAGCTAGAAACCAAACATAACATAATACATCATAATACTAGATTTTTTTGAAACGACTTGTGGGTTGTTTGTTGTTTATTGTTGTGCAGTCCAAGTCAAAACTCCATGGAAGCATTTTCGGCGTCCTTCAGAGGCATCACCTCGGCATAGTCCAGAAAGCATCGTTTGCGTAGCAGTGTGTTGTATTCAAGAGAGTTCCCCTGTGCAAAAAAATATATGGAAACAGTTTTTTGCAGCAAATTGGAACATAAAACATGTTTGTATGGAAAGCACGTTGTAAGAACATGGAACACCTTTGTCTTTCAAGACTTATCCTCAGACCCAACACTTGCCGCACTGGCCTTGTCCAGTGTGCTGCGTGCTGGTGCTGGTGTGGATGAGCGGCATCCATTTTCCTCCTCAAGACAACACAAGTCAAAACACAACAAAAGTCAACACGGAGATTCGAAGCTGTTGCATTTGGCAGGTGCTGCTGTTGTTACAGGTCTCTACTGGCGTCATGAATCAAGAGGTTCAGCCACCCGTCAAGCATGTAAACAAAGAGATTTAAAGAACAATGTAAAATATAAAACACATGAAACAAATTGTGCTATATAATCAGATTATATACTATATTTGTTTCTAAAACAAATATAGTATATAATCTGATTATATAGCAAAATAACCAAAGCAAGTGGAAAAAAGGGAGGTGAGAGCCTCTGTAACAAGGCCCTTGAAGTTCGTGTCTTCTCATGACACGCAACAAAAGCCAAAGCAGCCAGTTCCCATGGTCTTTCAACCGGCCTTTTTGGCACCAGGGATGCAAATGTGATTTTCCTCCCACGCCAGTTCCACATCCACATTCTGAAGGTACCAGTCCTTAAGTTCTCATCGCCCCATCAGAGCTACAGCTCCACTTCCGAGCTCAACAGGAGTTCAAGTTCCGAAGCAGCCCCTTTCAAAACCCCAGAAAAAAATACAAAAGCTTGGCATCAAGTTCTGCCTACACACTTTGCAAGTTCACCAACAAGTGTCGTCTTCGCTAAGCAGCGCTGTTTGGACAATCGGGAAATTGTTCAATGTGCCAGGCAAGTTTGCCAACATGGCAATACGTCGGCACAGTACATGTCGTGCGTCCACATATGTGCAAGCACCAAACCGCCAAGCAAGAACTAGCAAGCCTGCTCCGAATCCCACTCTGGAGCCTGCCAGCAAGTCAGCGCGACAGCCTGACCCGACTGAAGCATCTCAGCGTGACAACATGATAGCACGTTAGCGTGACCCATGCCAGCATGCCAGCCTGACACCATGTCAGCGTGCCACCACACAAGCCCATCAGCGTGGCAACACAAAACAGTATGGCAACACCTCTGCAAAGTCATCCGGAACTTGCTCCGAAACTTCCACCAGAACCTCGTGTGCAACCTCTTGCTCCTCAGAACCTCCTCCAAACCTGCTCTGGAACCTGCTCCGAAAAAACGTGCTCCAGAACCTGCTCCTCCGGACCTGCTCTGGAACCTGCTCCGGAACTTGCTCCAGAACCTGCTCCGATTTTTACTATGGCTGAAGACCCCTAAGCTTCGCTTTGAGGGGAAAAGAGTCGACTTGCAATGACAAGCATCCATATCTTGGCACTTCAGCCTCTCTCGGGATTCCTGCATCTGCTGTAACTCACCTGCTGGCATATTTCGAGCTTCAGGCTTCACCTCGCAAATGTTGACTTCAGATTCACATGCAATGGCCACAGCATGAGAATGCAAATGCATGTGCGCTTTGGGCTCCCTGAAACGAGGTTCAATCCCTTCCAGTTGAGCGCGTCAGACGGTCTCCACTGCCTTATAGAAGGACTCCTTGTGCCCATCAAGCCACACTTCAGCCAACCTGAGGTGTGACGTCAAGTTTGGATTGACGTCAAGCACGCAAGTCTGCTTGCCCCAGTCTGCTTGCAAGTGGCCGCTTGTAGTTTCTGACCTTTGAGAGAATCAAGGTGCACACAACATAAGCGCTTGAGTGGTGTATCTCACAAAGCTTGAACGTTAAAGTTTCAGCATCAGAAGAGATGCGAACGACTCTCAAAGCAAAACACAGTTTGGCTTTCAGAAAGGGCGCAACCAGACACTTAAAGTAACTATATGCGTGTTTGGTACCTCCCGATTCGAGAATTAGCAGGAAGCATCTTGGCTTTTAGGCTTTTGACTCTTTTGACCCCTTGATTGAAGGTTGCACTTTCGGCCTTTACCTTCTTTGACTTTCAAACAGAGAGCCTCAAAATGACATAACGACTGCTGCATAAGCAGCCGCAGCTGAGCCAAGCGCAACATCCGGAACTTGCACCGAATATGGCCTTTCCTGACGGACAATGCCGTAGCAAAACGATTTGATAGGATAGACATGGTTGAGCTATAGGGGTCATAATCTTTTCCCATCGCACTGCATCCCAGAAATGATATCAAAAGCTATAAGAGTACTCCACTTTGTTGTGTGTCCCAGCTCGGGCGCATCCTGCCTCCTCCGACCTGAACCAATGCCCGACACGCGAGCAAGGATGAATCTCGATGCGACCACCGCAACGCCAGACTTTGTGGCTCGCCTGCGAGGAGCATTTGGCCTCTTCTGCATCATGAGCCTCCTCTGAAAGGGTGGTGCATACAAAGTAGTTGTCGAGTCCCCAAAAAACACACCAGGACCTTTCCTGTATTCACTGACACATGACACAAGGTAAAGACAAGCCAAAATCAAGGTCCAGGAACCAAGCGACAGTTCCATGACCCATCAACGATGATCAAAACCTGAATCTCACATCCCCTACTGCAAAAGAGCATCTGGGTTCGGTCACACCTGTCAGTATTTCACCCATCCAACACATCTTGCATGGATCGATAGGCTAGCAGGCCAAGTAAGACTGCATGGCCAGTAAGACTGCATGGCCAGTTGCTCCAGAATACACTGTGATGTTTAGCATCCTGGAGACTGTTGACACACTCGACCTCCTTCCCCTCCATTTCACCTCGACGTGGTCACCACCCCAGCGAATCATCTTGGGATCAAAGAACCTCAGCGGAAGTGCTGCAGCGGCGGCGCACCGCACCAACTAATCTCCCATGCGTTCAACACCAGCCAAGTTTGGGAGTCCTCTCTTGGTTCTCAGCTTGGGTAGAGGACTCCGATTCCGATCCTTTTCTTTGCATGAAGCTCACGAACTAGAAGGCACCCAGTCATCCCATGTGGAGGGCTCTGGACGAAGAAGGCAAAGCCCAGGCAAAGCCAGTTTTGACATGTTTCCCTGACTGAGAGACAAGCTCGAGGTGATCCCACCATTCCTGAAAATGAGCTGGACATGGCAAGATACACATGGCGCATAGTGGGCATGTCGAAGCTCTACCCTTGTAACATTATTATTGCTTGGCAGTAAGGAAATCCACACGTAGCGAGCCCGTCATGATCCCGTACTACTTTCACGACCCACCTGAGCTCAAAGTGCCCAGAAGGATCAAAACCAAAATCTTCTCGCCTTGGAAAATCTTGAAACTAGTAAGTTGGAGGCCATCGCTAGTAGGCTGGAAAATCTTGACGCCCTATCGACCCAACAAGGTGCCAAACAGCCCACAGCCCTGTGCCTTCCGTATGGCGTAAATGCCACCCGACGTTGCAGGCGATGGATACGGCTCTGAAGTTGTGGGCTCTTGACGCCACGGGTTGTAGGCCTCGGTGCACCCTGCAAATCTTTGCAGGCATTTTGTGTGTGTGTGTGCGTCTGAAAGATGATCATGATGATCATCTGAAGATATATGTTCTGCTAATGTTTTACTCCTCAACTTGAAATAGGTGCAATGACTCCAGGAACAGGGAGCACCAAACACAGATCCTCGACATCTGGGCGTTAATCGTGGCTAAATGGCCAAAACCTCTAGAACTTTGCGATTCTAAGTGGCAGATTGTCTTTTCCCGCTTTATCTGCTTTACGCAGGAAGACCAATTCAGACCTGCACTCGTAGCATAGATCGTGTCCCTTCCTTCACTGGTTCAGTGGCAGGGGGCAATGAGGTTCAAGTTCCATTCAAAGCGCCAGTAGATAAAGGGCATCCGCTGATACGTCGTCATGTCCTCCAAAAGGGCTTCCAGATTAAACAAACAAAAGCCTTGACTAAAGATTGGCCAAAGTGTTTGTGCAATCTGAACTTGCAAACTTCTGGTGCATCAAACCAAAAATGATCAAAGGCAAACTAAATGGAAAAACAAAGGTATTGTAAGGAAAGATTGGGATGTCAGGGAGTCCCGTCATGTCACGTGATGTCCTTGTCCAAGAGGTCAAGGCTGGGCATCACCAAAGCTCTTGGCTCTTGCTCCAAGCGTTGCAGCAGGGGCTCCAGCCACTGAGGTGTGACCACCACGTGAGGTTCCAGGAACATCAAGACCTGAACTGAACTCAGCGTTCGGTGTTTTCGATGAATTGTGAAGCTCCAAAACCTGAACTCAGCTTGAACATGTTCATTTCATGACCGTGAGAACATCTCCACAACACAACCAGTTGCCTCGATTGCTTTTCCAGGAAGCAACTGTGGTCATGTGGCGCTGAGGCCACAACTGCACCCTTTGCACGAGCCGCGGCCTCCATCTTTGTCACGATGAGCCCTTTGTTCTCCTATCAATTCATGGGTGCGTATTGAAATCAGAGGAATGTCCACTAGGACCTCGGGCACAAAAAATACAATACGAAAAGAAACTGCCTATGGGGCATCTCGCCACCCCTCATCGATCTTGGGCATGCAAGACTCTACGTTTGAACCCAGTTGTCCCACCCTCCCAAAAGCCATGCACCATGGTGCCCATATTTCATTGGGCACGTCGAGCTTTCCAAGAGCACTATATATACTATATATATATATACAATAGCTGCCTTCACTCAACATACCTCGCGATGTGTCAATCATTTTCCAAAGTCAAGGTCCTTGTTGATGATGACCTGCACTTTGGGGTGCATTGCCTTGAGCTCTTTCTCAAAAATAGAAGCCTCTTCGTTGCCATCAGAAACGCAAATGATCTCCTGCCACACGCAACCGAGCGTGATTCTGCAGGCCATGGTTCCCCGCAAGCACAGCCAACGGGACGACATGATATGATCAGCTCCTTCAGCAAATTGAGGTTGCTATGCCGCAAAATGCTGCGCAAAGTCATCCGTATCCGAAACCACTCCTCATGGTAATAGGGGATGATGATCCTCGGCGACTCGGCGAAATTGCAATGTCTTGCCTTCTAGATTGGCGAAACTTTTGATCTAAAAGCTAAATGTGCTTCTTCGCAAACGTCCATTACAACATACGATCTTTCATGGGAAACTCCCATGCCATTGGACGAAACAGATTGGCATTGCAACCTTGACTTTGACATGCTACGGCTGCTACGGTGAATTCAAGACGCACCAAACATGTGCTCAACATGGCCTGTGGTGCAACGATCACCCCCGTTCTCAAGCTGCAACCAGGTCTCGACACCTGAGTTCTCAAAAAACAAAAAAAGCTGTTCAGTTTCCGCTATCTATGTATATAGGTTGTTCCTTTTTGTGAAACCCACTTGCCTGAGCACCAAGACCCTGCGTGCTCAACAAGAATTCAAGGGATCAGTGGTCGGAACCATCAATGCTTTCGTCAAACCTTGCATGAACCTGTGCTTACTGTGTTGATTCACAGCAAAGCTGGGTGGTTCTTGGCCTTCTGAAGACAAACCATGACTTCTGTGATCACCTGCCGATGCTTCTAAAATGAGGCCCCGACAGCATGGTCAAAGCCTTGGCAATCCATTCCATGGATATCCATGGATCTATAAACAAAAGAATTCTTGGAACTTCTCCAAAAGGCGCTTTGAAGAGAGATGAAGAGTCTTGTCGACTTGCGGCACAAGAACCTCCCGGTGGTCGAATGGCTCACCGTGCCACAACCGGGGAATAGCCGAGACTCCAGTCACAGAGGGCTTGGTCGGACATGTTCTCTGCCAAAGCTGATTGGGTAAGCTGGGTAGAAAGCCATCATCATTGGCCTAAGATGTCGCTGCAAGAAGGAATATGTGAAAACTGGAACTGGATCTGTCTGCTTTGCTGCCCGATGCGTCTCTTGACCTACACTTGGTCTCCTCACAGTGCTGACCACACGCTGCTATTGCGCAGGTCACTCGCAACATGCACCATGTGTCCCAGCTGCTCGTGCCCCGGCCTGTGGTGTGGGATAGAACACCATCGCCAACAACGGAGGCAACAGCACGGCCAGAGCAGCAAAGACCATTCCTGACGAAGTTTCGTCCAAAGAACCCTCTGAAGTAGCCCGGTACACGGCTCATTTTGGAACCTAGAAACGGCTCATTTTGGAACCTGGCTCATTTTGGAACCCAGACGAAAAGAAAACTCACCGGGACTGCAGCGTGAGACCAATTTCGCGGCTCATTTTGGAACCTGCATCATTCGGTAGTGCTTCGAAGGTAGTATTTGCTAGTGAAAATGAGTGTTTCGTACGAGACTTCCTCCAAAAGTGAGCCGCGGAAGTCTCCAGAACGAGCGTTTTGTACGAGAC